ATCATGAAATTTTAAAGTCATGAGGTGTATTTTGTCGGACTCCCGGAGATTATGCGGTATTATGGTAAATGGAGGATCGATTGGTGATGGATGAGTTCTTGTTGAATATACCAGTTGTAACGAGTGAATGAGTCGTGAATCGGATTAGTTATAAGATCGTAAGTGAAGACCAACCTCAACCCATTCCCCCTCTTTGGTCTTGTGCCAAAATTGTATATTTTATGCAATAAATATCAACAAATAAACAGCAAATAAAATATCGTTAGCAACTAGAATTTAGAAATGCTATTGTATATTCATATGATCAAGTGAAAATTTACGTCAATTAATTTACGTTTGAAGAGAATATTTTCACATGTAGAAATATTGTTTGTACTGACGGATTTATCCATTTTCTTTTGATTTCTTGATATATTTTTTTGTTTACGTTAGCTTGAGAGAGTAGTGATTCTGTTAGGAAAGGTGATATTGGGGAAAACCTGGGTGTAGATTAATATTCTGATAATATTCAATGGCGACACTCTCAAGGATTTTCCTTCTCAATGAATAATTTTCTTTTTTATGAGTGCAGCATTTATAAAATAAAAATTGTGATTGAATTCATTTCTATGTATGACTAATGCATTAGTTAGTTGTTATTTATGAGGTCTCTTTTGTGCTCATAGATGCCTTTCTTTACATTTCTGCTTGTTTCTCCAATATATTGGGAGGAACAGTTTTGGCAATTTATTTTATATATGCCTGCTTCAGAAATATTATTGCTATGGGTATTTGAGGATCTGATCATATCCATAATGGTTTTGGAAGTGTTTGTGATTATTTTGATATTATTTAGATGGTATAGGTTGTCCTGGATAGTGGACGTGACGGAGTTGGTCGGTAGTATTATGTATCTGTTCTCATATAATTTATTATTACGGATGATGATGTTATTTTTGCTGCAGTTGTATATTTTGTATGCCTTTCTTCTTGCGTTGCGGATGAAAAGATATGGATACTGTAGGATTTTGAATGTGTTTTCTATGTATGTTTCTTCTTTAGGTAAATATTAGGGGCTGCAGATTCTTAATGCTCTCAAATAGAAACCTATAATAAATCAAAATTTAATTTTAGAAGAGGGGTTAGAGTAGAAATTTGACCAGGTCATTTTTGTTCGTAGTTTTCTATAGTGATTCTGTGTAACATGATATCTCGGAAGGGAAGAGTGTATTTGGTTTGAGATTCAAAAGTGAAGTCTATTATAGGTTCAACGTTGTTAGGTTGGTTGATAAGTAATTGACGTAATTTTTTCAGTTGACCATTTGAATATACAACAGCGTTTCTAAATTCTTCTAGTTGCTAACGACATTTTGTTTATTGTTTATAGATACCTTGTTTTTTTCTACAGGTTAATTCTGAGAAATTTATATATATATATATATATATATAACTTATTAAAGTTGGATTTAAACACAATCCTACCCCTACATGAATTTCTAACTTAGAGCGTTCTATGTCCTCCCCCTCCCATCTCTTCTGTCACCTTACATCAATCTAAAACTATCCGTCAAAAACTTATATTAAAAATAAAAAATACAAATTCCTTTGTAACTAGAGATGTGATGAACCAGAAAAAATATATTTTATGGGGAAATAAATTATAAGGTTGTCTCTTTTTAATTTAATAAATATATATATATATATATATATATATATATATATATATATATTATAATACTATTATTATAATACTATTATTATAATACTATTTATATACAATAAGGATTTATAACATATATCTATCTTATCTATCTATCTATCTATCTATCTATCTATATATATATATATATATATATATATATATATATATATAAAGCACTGATGATAAATATATATATATATAAAATCTATTAAGCTCTTCTAATATATATATATATTATGAAATGGACAAAGTCCGACAATTATTTTAAGACATTTTATGTTTCTACATTCTTTTTATAGATACAAATATTTAAAAATGCTCTGTTTTTATAATAAACAGTATTCAGGCCGGTAAATGTTGTTTAATACTGTTTATTGTGAACAGAGATTTACTTAAATATTTGTATCTATAAAAAGAATGTAGAAACATAAAAATGTCTTAATATATATATATATATATATATATATATATACCAGATAAGCACTGATTATAAGTATATATATCCATATCTATATATATATATATATATATATAAATATATATCAATTAAACACATATCAGTTAAGCACTGATTATAAGTACATATATATATCTATATCTATATAGACACTGAGGATCAGAAAATATATATATATACATGTGTGTGTGTGTGTGTGTGTGTGTGTGTGTGTGTGTGTGTGTGTGTGTGTGAGAGAGAGAGAGAGGAAGGATTTTAATCTTTAGAATAAGTAGTTATGGCATGATAGATAAAAGTAGAAAAGTATAAGTATTCAGTAATGCAATGATATTTTATTGCTTACAATATCAACTTTGATACAAATCCTTATTCACATTTTATTGGCACATGAAACAAGCCCAACAATCATTGCACAGTGTCCTTTAGTTGTGTATAAAGAGAAAAAAAATTTTGCTGTCTCAATTATTTAATTTATAAATCATAAATGAATTCTGTTGATTGGTTGATTCAGGAAGGGGGATGTAATACTTGAATGAATATTCTGTTTGGCAAAATATCAAAATTTGTTTTTGTTGTTTCCTTTTTTTTATAGTGGAGCTCTCATGAATCTACACCATCAATGCGTATTTATAGCTTCTATAAGTCACAAGTCATCGTGACCGATGGCATGAGTGTGCTGGCCTTGTTCAAATTGTTGATCACACTAGATGACACACTCTCTCTCAGAAACTGTAACTAAGGTCTGCTTAGCAGAGTTGCAGTATAAACCACAGGTGGGCTCTGTGGATGTTGAATAAACACAAATGTGCCTGAGCAAGTGTCTGCAATAGGGATTGGCTAGTCACCCTAGTAGATAGGTATTCTCAAATATGAGTGGCCAGCTATATATAGCATCTATGCATGTAGAATAACTGCCATCTATGTGAAAAGTGGGAATTGTAAGCCAAGTTCTAATTCCAGCTAATGTTGTTGCATTCACTTTCATGCAAATACCCTTGGGAAGGGTATGAATCCAACTGTCCTCCCCTCACTCCGACCATGGGTTAAATAGCAGAGTAGACTGGATTCTCTAGATTTGGGTAGCAAGCAACGAGTCTAAGAGAAGTAAAACACTGAATTCTAAAACCGTGGAGAAGTCAATGGAAACCATGTCACAGAGTCTTTCCTAAGAATTCATGGCAATTCACAAATAATAAAGAAAAAGGAATTTCATCACAAAGAGACATGATATTAAAATACAATGTATTATGTAATAAAGACTGATTAACAATGATGTAATTCAGCCAATTTTATATTTATTTTGAAATAATACATTAAGTAGTAAACTTTGTTATGAACTAGCAGCATGACCCGGCATTGCCCGTGCTTGATTCAAAAATCGTACGACTTACACAGCAATCGCTATCACTTGACTTAAAATATTTTTGCCCTTCCTTGCCTTTAAAGGAGTGCCCTTTGCCGTGCTGATGTTGCTACATGCCTTACTTCTTGCCTATCTCACACTGCAAATTTTTTCTAAGTTCTATACTAAACATTAAATCTGTTAAGAAAAAAGAATTAAACAAAATGAACACAAAATGATCAGCTTTAAAAAAGGACTCATAACTGGAAAAACCGAATGAAAAAAGAATGTTAACAACAAATACTTTTTCACACCCACCCCAGTTCTGCGGAATCAGAATCAACGTTGAGTTTAAGCAAGGGAATGAACCAATTGGAGTAAAGTGCCATGCAGATTTAAATTTTTCCCACTTGTGACGAATGCAGCTATCGATTTTTTTTTTGCATGCTAGTTAACATTCAGGTCAGTCAGCTGTTGGCTCTCACGTTGACCGATAGAATCTTCCTGCCTATTCGTGGCAGCCAGCTATTGGCTCTCACTCTGGCCAGTAGAAAATGGCTGCAAATTACATGAAAACTGCCGTAGAAGCATGATAAAATCGATTATTTTCACTATCGATGGGAGTTGGGAAATGCAAAGTCAATCTTGGCCTTCCCGTTAACTTGGAGCGTGTGCATGTAAATTTTGGTGCAAATCCATCGAAAATTGCGGCTGTGCATTCATTACTCACACACACATATCCTGCCTTTTATAGATAGAGATATAGATAGACAACAGTTTTTGTAATTATAGTCAGACAAATTATGATGGACAACTAATGCATTGAGTGTGATATTTTGTACAAGATCCTGTTTGTGTCAATATATTCTTTTATTTAAATTTCTAGAAATTTAACGTATGTATTTCTGTAACTTTATTGCATTCTATTGTACGAATACCTTCTTCAGGCTTTAGATAGTTATTTCTGTTTGTACTAATTAAATCTGTTATTGATTTTTGAAGTAGTTATAACAAATTTTACATTAAGTTTAAATAAATTCTTTTCAGTTATAGTCATTATTGGGCTGGTATATAGTAATGTGTCTACTTTTAACAACATTATTTTTTTTTTTTAGTTTCATAATGTTACCAGAAATACATTGATAAAATGTTTATCTATTTAAATAAAAACAAAGAAATGCCCCTCCTCTCAGTGAATGTGGCAAGCCTAGTTCAACCCACTTCCCGCCACAAAAGTAGCACACCGGCTGTACTTTTTCCATCCTTTTGACCCCAGACATCAACCCCTCAAATTCTTCCAGAGTCAACTTTATTGAACTTCCTGTCTGCTAGACTGTCAAGAAATGAAGCAGGAATCTAGATACATTCTTGCTATCACATTTTTTTTATTTTATGTAAGAGTCTAAATTTGTGATGCTAAAAATACCTCCTTAGACAAGCTTATGTGTCAGTGACCAATATGAAAGATAAATTAGTTTTCATTCTCTTTCTTGTTGAATATTGCTTCTGGCTGACTGGCACGTTGAAACATCAGTTCCTGTAGGATCACTAAAGTTAAGCAATGTTGAGTCTGGTCAGTATCTTGATGGGTGACCACTTAGGAATACCAGGTGCTCAGGGCTGGATGTGTGTGTTGGGTAATGGTTCAGAATTGTTAATCAGAGAGCCAAGTTCCAGTTCCAGTTGGATTCATTATATTCACTTGGGAAAGGTATGACTACACCTATTTCCCCCCAACTATGGGTTAATTAGTAAGACTTGTATAATTTAATCATTTTTATCTCCAAAAGAAAAAATTCTTACAATCTAAAAATATTATCTGGTTTTAAATAACCTGGAAAATGTTGATAAACTATTGACAACAAATCAATCAATCAATCAATCTGGCTGGCTGGGTGAGCACAAATGCTCAAATTTTTATAAAATACATCCTATAATAGCATATCATTCATACTGTTGGTTTCAGTTGCTCAATTCCTAGTGGATACAGTTCAAACCACTACCAAGGAAGTCCTTGTCATTTGTTAGGAATTCAGAACATTTTGAGGGAATGATCTAAGAGGCCCCTATCCACAGAAATTGGATAAGATTGGATGTTGTGAACCTATTAACCACAGTTTTACAGATCTGTCCTGACAGAGGTTCAGATCTAGAGTGGAATCAGTCTCTTTCCTTGAAGAGCATACTAACATTCCAAGAGATAATCTGATGGAAAGTGATGGCAAACTTATGCACGGAATATTTTGAGGAAGTGGCTTTAGGAATAGCAACAAAGAAATGCCAACAGTATGGCTGAGATATGTAGATGACACCTTCATACTCTGGCCTCACTAGAAAGCTGTACAAATACTGCTGAACCATGTGAACTCAATAAGATCTTCAATCCAGTTCACAATGGAAGAAGAAAATAATAATCAGCTAGTCTTCCTGGATATACTAATAACTTGCACAGAGAATGGGTTCAAAACATCCATATATCACAAGGCAACCTTCAGTGGGTAACTTCAATTTCCATCATCCATACAATGTGAACAATGGGATTTTTAAAGGGACATTTTAAAAAACAACACACAAAAAACATTGGTTGAAACTGACCGTGATTTTGATATAGGGAATGCTACTTTGATTAAAAGAGAAAATAATCCACTAAAACAAAAATATCTGGAAAGTGCCTTGATTGCTAGTTCAGACATGGTAAATTTGCATCTAGGCTCTTACAGTATATCACCATTCTTAGTAGATTTTCTGTTATCACAATGTGGCATAGTCAGGGACAAAGGTGATGGAGAGAAAAAGTAAAAGAATACCGATGAATTTGACTAGATTGTAAAAATATTCTTTCAAAAAAAAATATTCTTTCAAAAATTTTGAATCTACCAGTGTCTCTCATTTTGTGCACATGTGTAGATGTGACAATATCAACACAGCCCAGTCTACTGAAATCCTAACAGCAATACACTTTCCAGTATCACAAGTTGGAATTTCAGACATCTACTCAAGTTTCATGCTACTGTATTCATCATGCAACCAGACATATATATATATATATATATGTGTGTGTGTGTGTGTGTGTGTGTGTGTGTGTGTGTGTGTGTGTGTGTGCATCTATTTTTGTTTCAACTGAAATTTTAATTTTTTTCTACCTGTATTCCTCACTTTCTTTATCCCTGTTCATTCTCTTTTCTCAATTTCTTCCTGCTTATATAGGTTTCTCAATCAGAAAACATAACAGGCCCATCAGCATGTGGTGGGGAATCTACATGTCCCTGTAAATCATTTACCCCCACTGAAAATGATGGCAACTCATTTTAGTGTGCAGATTCTTACTTGCTGTCTCATTTCTCAAAAGACTCTGGCAATGGACCTGAAGCCTAACTGATTTAAGAAGAGTCTTATATCAAACAGATACAGCACTTTGATCCTACACAGAAAACCAATATCATTGTACATCTTTTATGTACTGAGTTTCTTCAGGACAGTGGCAATCATAGCGCTATGCAGTCCTGTTCTTTGTAACTCTAAATAACTTTTGTCTTTTTTCCATCTCTCTCAAATGTTGATCATTTTGTGTGTTGCTTTCCTCTGATCATTGCATCTTCAATCTGTCCTGTGAGTATCAAATTTTCCAAGCCCTCTTTCCTCATTACGTGCTCTAGAAATTTTAATTGTCCTGACATTAAGTATAAGTGTCCTTTTTGTGTCTATTGTCTCTAGAACTTTGTCGTTGCTCATATGTCTGGTCAGTGGTATTCTCAGCATCCTTTTGTAGAATCATATTTCTGTTGCTTAACACTTCATCTTCATCTGTGAGGAGATTTTCCTGCATTTCCTGCTATAGAGGAGGACTGATACTACCTAACAGTTCAGTACTCTTTTCTTTGTTTCTAAAAATATTTTTTCTGATTTATAATACTTTGCCCGGCTTTTATACAAAAAAGCGGAATAGTAATATGGATATTATAATAAAACAAGTTTGACGTTTATACATCATAATAGTCAATTTAGTATAAACAGGTTTTTATACAAAAATATCATTTAATATACTTATTTGATCTACAAAAAATGGTGTTCATCTCAGTTTTTTTTAATGGGAAGGGACATGAGTAATCATGCACCCCCCACTCCTTTTCTTTATTATCTGTGAAACTCCATAATTTCTTGGGAGAGATGGTGGAGTGATTTTTCTTTTGCCTTCTAAACAGTTTTAATTTCAGGGTTGTCCTCCAAAAACTGGTTGCCACCCAAGGTTAGAGAGCCAAATCTACCCTGCTATTTAATCACTTACGTGAAGAGAAAAGAGATAGATCCATGCCTTTGCCAAGATAGTGACTCAGAAAGGGAAATTAGCGAGTCAAGTTCAAATTCCAGCCAAGTTCATTGCATTCACTTTCTTACAAATACCCTTGACAATGATTGATTGTTTTTTTATGGCTTCAAATAACCCACAAAGTGTTGCTTTGTGAATAACAATAAATTTTACTGATACATGTTCTACTGTTTAACCCATAGCTGGGAGGAGATGGATTTATACATTTCCTAAGGGTACTTGTGCATGTGAATATGACAAATCCAACTGGAATTTGAACTCAGCTCTCTAATTCCTCATGCTGAGCTGCCATTCATTACACACCCCACAGATACCTTTGAGAAAGGTTGAATATATTTCTTCTTACCCCAGTTATGTATTAAATAGAAGCATAGACTAAACTCACTTGCCTTGGTTGGCACCTAGTCAAAGAGATGGACAACTCTGAATTCAAAACTAATTAGGTATCGGGTTAGCACCTCCATTCCATAAAAACCTATTTGCTGTGTAAACCATAGCTGCAACACCTTGGGTGGTGAGTCTGTGGACTTATACACTCCACAGGAAAGTTTAAATAAGCCAAAGAGATTACAACCACCTAAGCAGGAATTTGAACTTGGCTTGCCAAATCCACTTTCCACATCTATAACCATTATGCTACCTGAATGTCCTTCCCCTGAAGTTCAGAGTAGAAAAATACAAATGCTTATTTTCCTTACTTTATTTGGATTGCTGGGTGGGGAGAGAAAAAAGGAGTCATATAATGGGCAACATTTCATTATTTTAAATCAACAGGATCAAACAAGAAATGAGCTTTTCCTGTTATCTTGGTCAAACAAAGAACAAATCATCTGACCAACTCTAACAATCGGGTTGGTAGTCCCAAACTCCGTATACCCAAAGTGCTGGAAACTTGAAAAGAAGAAATAAATTATTTTTTTCAGAGTACTTACTAGTTCATTTAAATAACTGTTGCATAGTTGAAGTTTGCTTGGTTTATCTTGTTTTATAGCATATCAACCACAATGTGTTATTTAATGCCAACAAGATTTTTAGGATAGATTCATATGAAAAGATTGCATTCTTTGTAATAAACCATTTTGTAGATGAGGTTTCATTTTTGTAAAGAGGGTTTTTTCAAGAGTCAAATGTATAATTTCTTTTTAAATGTATAGTTGGTAATTTTTTTTTTTTCAAAAATGTATTGCTGATAATATTTTTTCTTCAAATATTGTTGAAACTTGGATAAGCATGGAATAATAATAATACAACACAAAATGTACGTTAACAAAATGTATTGAAACAAGGAAAAGGTACACAATATTTACAGTTAGTTTTGGTATATTCTTGGGAAGACTGTTCCTGCATAATGGGTTGACTAAATCGCAGTCGGGCAGAGTCTCTCGATTCGATGTCTTCTTCTTACAATCTCTTTCTCGTCTTCCGGTACCAACCCATATTTATATGGTCAGTACTCCACTTATGTAAATTAGGTGTATCATACACAACAAATATATATTGCTGGTATTTTTTCTATAAAAATCTATTTTTATACTTTCATAGTTGTTATACTGAAACACACCTATTCTATTGTTAATAGACTCTCCCACATATAATAAGTAGTAGTAGTAGCAGTTGCCAGTGAGCTGAGTGAGCTGGTGAGTCAGTCGATGTCGGACATTAAAGTATCAACCACCACAACTAGATTGCTGCGTCATTAACTATTATTTCAAGTTCCTAATGTTTTGTACGTCAACCCTTTTTTAGGACCGACTTAGTGAAATACAAGCCTCTACTGTGAAACTACTCTACAACACATTGGCGATGAGGGATTCGTTCTCATACAGAGGAAGAAAAATTTTTTGCTCACTCTATAACAACACAATAGTGTTTTGATCCCAGTTTGGGGGGTTAATTATTTGTCCATAGCTGAGACTCTAACAGGTGCTACCACCTCGGGTCAGTGTGGACCTGGGAAAAACAGCAATTAAGAGGTAGTTCCACACTCCTCAAAACTTCCTGATCAGAGTCTTTGCTGTCAGATGTAGTTTACCGTCATATCCAGGACATTCCATAATTGAAGCCACATCAGCATATGACATGTACTTATTTGGCGATTTCCATTTAAAAAGAAAATATACAAGTTAAGGAATGATTGAATGAAGACACTTTCTGATGTTAAGTATATGCCATCTCTTTGTTTGTAACCTATCTAAGACCTCATCGTTGCTCACATGCTCAATCCATCGCCTTGAGTCTCTTCCTCATCCTTGAGGAAATCGTCCAACATTCGCTGCCGTAAAGAAGAA